AATATGTTTAGCTGTTACACATGGACCCCAGATCCATAATCCCGCCTTCAGCAGCTGTTACATTCGTTGTGGTATTTACAGCAGATGTTACGGCTCCGTAAGAAGGTAAAACAATTGAGACTTCCGAAATTGGGGCTGCAGGGAGGCGAAGCAGAGCCCAACCCCTGCACCCAGCTGCAGCCGGGCTCAGACAATCGGCTGCGGAGGCAGCACCAACACATGCGGTAAAGAGTCACGTCGCAGCATACAGCAGCTTAAGGAAATTTCAAATGTTACCACAGCGGCATTAAAAAGCTGTCAGCTTCCTGCGAGTCAAGCAGCAGAGGCTGAAATTCAGTGTTTAAAGGATGATTAAATATAAGTGACTTAAATTATACATTCCAGTTGCTGGAACTGACACCATTTAAAACACACCATCTATTCCCCATTTCCTCTGACACTGATTACTATCCACTAAAAGATGAGCATTTTCTTACAGGCACTCAAGTACCAAACTAGGGATTTATAAATTGGAGATAATTAAAAGGTTTTGAATTACAAATAGAGTAAAAAATTTACATTCCGTGGGCCACCTGAGAACACTTAAAGAGTCAAAATGGACATTTTATACCTGAAAACCTGCCTACTCTCTATCAAGGCTGCTAATTGAGGCACAAGCAGCTTGGAGCTATTCTACAGTGGATTCACAATCAAACATTTGCTGAGCTGGTGGACAATCTGAGACAGACTCGGGACCCGTCGTTAATTCTCCCACATGGAGCTCTGTAAGCCAAAGCTCTATTAAGCTGACACAAATAAATTGCCTGTTTCTCCTTGATAAGTATACGGAGCTACTTGCAAGACGTTACCTTTCAGATTTCAAAGACAAGGAGCTATACGATTTTCTTGGCTAGCAATGACGGCGCTTTACCAGGAGCAAGGAGGGGAGACACGAGGGATCGCCCAAGGCCACGAAAACTGGGAGCGCCCCTTTCCCATCCACACAGAGCACCCACAGCCCCTTGCAGAGGCCAGTTGGGTCGGCCCCAATTCCTGATAGACCAGCAGCTCCTTGCAACTGGGGCCACACTGTGGCCTTGCGGTCAGATACCCCAACCCAGAGCACCTGGGTGTTTGCCTTTGCCTCAGACAGAAACTGCGCTGGTGGTGTGAGCAGCAGACACCAAGCTTGTAAGCTTCAAAGCCAACCCTCTGAGACCATTCAGCCTCCTAAAATGGCTTGGGAGGAAGAGTTTTGTTCTTAATTTAGCCTAAAGAACCAGGAGAAACCCACAAAGAGTCAGTGGGATTTTCCAGCTGAGAACAAGCTCTTACCCAGCATTTCTAACCCACAGAGCTCAAAGTGCTCTGCAAGAGTCACCGACCCCTTTCCTTCAGTAGGGAAACTGAGGCACAAGTCAGTCTCTCTTGGGCAGCCCTGGGGCAAGCCAGTTGCGATGCCCACCCCTTGCACCGCCCTGCCAGCCACCAAGGTCATGGTCCTTTCCTTCCACCTTGCTGTGTGCCATTAGGTAGAGACATGCTGCATTTGAACAACTCCTGCTCACCTTCAGGCTGAAACACCGAGCGCCTGCAAGCTTCCTGGGCTTTAGCTGTCTCAAGAGATGACTGATACAAAAAGGCATTAGGACTGGTTGCTTTAGTGATCTTGACATGCAAAGCTTTGATGCATCGCAAAACATTATCCTGGACCAAAAATAAACCTAGCGAGTGATGGTGGAAGTGCTTCAACATCCAGGGGTGATGGCTGGAGCCGTGGCAGGGGGAGCTAGGCCTAGATGTTACAACTTCATCCCCGTTTTACATACCAGAAAACTGAGGCATGGCAAAGAAAAGCAACTTGCTGCTGTACTGAGACCATGAGAGCAAAGCCCCTCAAAATCCTTCCTGCGTTATGGTCTCATGCAGGATGCCTGACTCTCCACCCCAGTGACAATGCACATGAAGGGATTAACACCTGCCAGTATGATGGCAGATGATGGAATTGTGCATGGCCACCTCAGTAACTTCAAAAAAGGTCATTCTAACATGATTTTCCCCCCTTCCCTGAAATTTGCAAGCCAGAAAAAGCAGTATCGATCTCATTGCCTGGCAGAAATAAGATAGAGACTAATTAAGCAGAGAAATCTCAGGGAAGGAGCCTCCAAGGAATCTTTTCATTCAAACAAGGTCCCTTACAAAATGCCAGGAGAAAAAGGGAAAGAAAAAAGAAAAAAAAAAAAAGAAAAAAAAAAGAAAAAAAAGCCTTATTCTGGATCTTCACTGTCAGCTCGCTTTTCCCTGCACTTACAGGAGTGCAGAGCATTGTAGACTCAAAACAGAAGAGGCTCCAAGACACTCAGAGGAGAGCTGTGGCTGCAAGCATAAGACAGAGGGAGAGGAGAGGCAATGCAAACAGCAGCAAATGTAAACAGTGACTCATGACATGCAGCAAATAAACAGCGCTGTAACAGTTTTTGCAATTATAATTCAAACCAAAATAAACAAGAATGACAGTGCAGCACAACGAAAGGGAGGATGACAGTGATGGGAAGGAGGCGTGGGGACTCCATCGCATTCACATCTGTTGCTCTCATAATATTCCAAATGAGCAGCTCCAGAAAGAAACAGAGAGAGGGAAGGAAAAAATGTATGGGACAGCAGCAATTTCTTGTGATCTACGTCTGTGCTTGAAGTTTTCATGACTGCACTGAGAGCAGAATTTATATCCCAAAGCCATGCAACAGCCTACAATGCTGCTACTGGTTTTGACCCTCGGCCCCCGAAAGCACCTCTAGCAACAGAAATAAAAAGTTCAACTCGGTGGGTTAATGAGTAAAATAGGCCTTGTGTGGTGGGTGGATGGACAGAAGGCAACAGTGGGGGGGAGAAATCACACCATCCGCGAAAAGCACCAGTTTGACTACTCCGCAAATCCTCCGGCGAAGCAGATTCACAATTTCTTTGCTATTGCTTCATTACCCTCCTAGTGAAAAGCTCTCCCACCAATCCGCACCTTGAATATTTTTTTCGGGCAAATCAAGGTATTTTCCCCCAGAGGGTACTAAAAGCTGATCATCATCCTTTTTACAGAAATCTTTTATGCGTCAGAAAATCCATTGCCTGCACTCAGGCTTATATTTCCAAATACAATTCCTTCAGCTTTCCCTCTCTGGCCTCATTTGCCGAGCCTTCCATCTGTGCGGTTCTTCTCCAGACTTGCAAGTGTGACCGTTTCCCTCCTGCCTTGCACTGCCCAGCACCCCTCGGTGCAGCGGGAAGCAATTATCAGCCTTGTCTTACACACAATGCCTCTGTAAATGACGACTCAGAGAGAGATTTGACTCCTTTCCTCAAACCTTGGGACGCTGTTGATTTGTTTGAGCTGGTGATCCACAACAGCCCCCATCACCACGTACTACCCTGCACTGCTGCTCCTCCTCTTGCATTCAGTCATTCAGCTCCTGCTCCCTCCAGAGCCACCACCGCACCCTCCTCTTCCCTATACCTCATCATGTTGGTGCCCGACCGGTTTTGCTGTTCACCAAGATGATCTGAAATTCTGTTCCTAAGCCTTAGTCACATCAGCAGCCCCTCTCCTGCACTAACAGGTTATCCCATTAAAGAGGGAAGTTGGACAGATTTCCCTTTTTTTTTTTTCTTCATAAGTCAGATTTTCTTTTGGACCCCCATCCTCCTCCTCCTCTATGCTGTTCGTAAATTGCTCTGCAACTTTTTTGAGGAATCAGGGTCAGATTCTCTGATCCTTCATTTTCTGGGTCTTCCCTTCGCCTCCCATTGAAGGCCTGGAGTGGGCATTACTCTGCTCCTCTTCCCTCCCCACCACATCTCTGGGGAACATCGGCAGCGATCACCAAGGGTTCAGAGCTTCCCGAGACCAGGTTTTCCTCAAGTCATCTAGAACAATCTCACCAAGCCCAGCTGACAGGAGCAGTGGATAATCTCTTCTTTGCCTATTCACATTCCCTTAGCTCCCCTATTCGAAAAAGCTACACGTCTGTGGATGTAATTAGCATTACAGTTTTGCGAGGACCGAAGCAGAGGAAGCACAGAGCACGTCCACCTCTTGCGACCCCTCGTCTCTCCAGCCTTGCTCTGCTCCTCTATGGCCTTTCTCACACATTCCACTCTTTTTGCAAGAACTTCCCCCAATTTGGAAGCCTTCAAATAAATAGTTTTTCCACTAGAGGGCACAAAGACAATTTCTCCTAAATGGAAACTGATGTTAGAAGGATTAATAAAATAGTTACTAGCATCTCACCAAAGGTATCTCAAACTCCAAGACACGAACACTTAATAAATTGAGATGTAGTTGCAACTCTCCAGGTACTACAACAGCACCAAACATCTCTAACATGTAGAGATTAAAAAGCCTTGACATCCAAAAGTGACACTACTCTAACAAAATCTCCTATACAACACTAAGCACTTTATGCAGTGATTTCTACACTGCCCACAACTTCTCGTTAGGCACAGACCACAGTATTAACACAGCACTGCAGACAGAAAATCCATCCTAGAATTTTCTAAGTTGAATGTCTCCAAATTCAGCTTCAAGTCGCTGAACTTTTTTATGCTTTTGTTTCCTCGATCAAAAGTTCTCTACCAGCAAAGATCATCTGTTTGTGGATACTTTTAGATCGTAAGTCACCTCCTGACCCGTCTTGGGTAAACTAAAAAGATTTTAGCCTTTAAGGCTCTTCTATACAAGCCAGCTTTTCCAGCTTTAAAGCTTGTCTTGTAAACTTCTTACAGGTTGTATCTATAACCATGACGCCTTAACCAGTTCCTCACCAAGGAATGGTGCTGGTCTGTAAAAATGTATAAACTCAACACCAAAGTAATCAAGTCAAACATTTGGTTACACAAACCCATCGAGTGGGACGACAGCGATAATTTCAGAGCATTATGTACCTTGAGAGCACCACGGCCCTCAGGGTTCATCAGCCTCCCCAGCCCCACCAACAGCTTCAGGTACAGCACGCCTTGCTTGAACCTACCTTGCCGACTTCTGTAATCCTGACAAACTGCTCTTTCGTGGTCCAAGCTGAGGAGATGTGCAAGCGCTTGGTAGCCCACTCGTGTGCGGGTGCCTACACGCACACCCACGCTCCCCTCCATGACTGGCTGTCCTTCGACGCACACTCACTCCTCCAGCCCGAAGGCAGCGAGGTTTGCTTTCTGCCTACCGCTGCCTGTGGATTTCCACTTACTGGAAGGTTTGGCTTGAACGGAGCCAGCCCAGAGACTTTTGCTAATGGAAGAAGAGAGACAATAGCGATACGCAGGTGCTTCCTCCCATTTAAAGTGTTTACTTGTGCCGCTTAACACAGTGACGCTATTGTGAATTAGATCTGCATGCTGGCTTACAGAGTTCAAAAGGTAGCACGTAACAAAAGGAACCCCAAAATACTGCTTATTAAATGAAATGCTGCAGATTAAGGGGTTTTTTTTTTCTTTCCTTTAAACTCTGCTTCCTTTGCCAATGCCAAGTAAGAGGGTTTTTCCGACCATGCAATAAAAGCAGTTTCAAATGGGAAATGATACACACTATATCAAAACTAAACAAAAAACCCAATGCAAAAGCAACGATTGATCAGTATATCTCCACTGCCTATGTAGCGGCTCCTTGTGGCATGGAAATGACAACTCTGTCAGCTACTAGTGAAGGCTGAACTCAAGACCGTTATAACTGCACGCGCGCCAAGAAAAATCAAAAAGATCAAGAAAGAAGGTAGGGTATAGCTAAGCCACAACACAGAGCTAAGGAAAACATCAGTCCGAAAGAGGAACAAAGGCCTATTTATTTTATGAGATAAAGCAAGCGATTCAGCTGTATTCCACAGTAAACCATTTGGCTTAGGACTGAAACAGGGGGGGGGGGGGGGGAAGCAGCATCTGATTCTAATTTTGTTGTCCTAAGCTTACATGACATGAATCAAGATGTTTACTAGATGTGCCAGGCACTCAAATCCATGGTTGGACCTTGTACATAGGAAGTATCAGATGTCCTGAACATCTTGCAGTTCCCTCTACAGCCAGCGAAGGCTCAAAGACACTCAGCACTTAACAGTAAAATAACAAGTGTCAAGACACTTTTCCTGGTATCTAAATAAACTCAGAAATCCAACTTTATAGACACCGATTCATTAAAATCTCAGTCCTTCCACAGCACCATCTTTTTACTGTTCAAGAAGTTTCAAATAAAATATCCTTATAACCAAGATCCTGCAACTTAAGACTGTACCTCATTTTCGCGTAAAACTACACCACAAAATACCAGATGGGCTGAAACCAATAGCACACACATTCTCATCCAACCCCATTCTCTTAACGTCAAAGCAAACAGAATTGATTCCTTTCATCTGAGCGCCGTATTATTTTGCCCACCCTCCCCAGTCGCTACTATTTTTGATGTTCTTCCATTGATTTTCCTTGGTGGTGGGAACAGACCGAATGGGATTCGGCACTTTACTCTCTGCTATCATCTTCAGTGAGATCTGGTGGGATGATTGCTCAGAGGACATCAGATCCAGACTCCTTCCATTCTCTATCATCAGCAAACCTAGAAATGGCTATTAAAATCCTTCTCTCCATTGCTCCTGTCACAGACATGTGCTAGAAAGTAAGTGGCAAGAGCCGCTTTCATTGATGCAAGCGGCAGAGTAATGCAATGGCTTAAAATTAGCAGGTTAATAATTTTAGAGTTGCTTCCATGCAGCTCAGCAATCCTGTGTCCAGCTTACTGGACTTCTCCTTGAAGAAACGTAAGAACGTAGGCAGATGTGTGCTGCAGCAAACTCAAAACAGCTGCAGCAACTCAAGAACTCAACCGCTGACTAACAGTTTGGACCAAACCCGTTTTACCTGTGCTGAAATAGTCTGTCAGCACTCTCACCCCCCCACACACTCTCCTCATTTGAAACAGCACTAGCAAACAGCAGATGGGCTTCATAACCTCTTAAACCATCGTGCCTGTTCTGCAAACAAATCTCTGGTAAGCAAAGGCTAAATGAGCATCTACAGTCGCCTCTAAGTTACCCACGAAAATGAAGACAAGGCATTGTGTGCACTGTGTTTTCAGGTATGAACTCCAATCTACGGTAACTGCCAGGCAGTCTCTGCCCCAAATCACTCGGCATCACCACATGCATCCCATCCTGAATTGCTCCACCACCCCTTCCAGCAGTCCTGCAGAGGGGGACCAGGAACCTTGCAAGGTGGCAGACAGGAAGACAGCACTCCTGTGTCTCTTTTATTGTTGGTTTTAGTCTTTAGTCTTGCTGGACACAAGCAACCCGTGTGTTTTATCTTTATGGCTCTCATTCTACTGCTGCATGCAGTTCCTGAAGGGACATAGGATGCCATTGCTTTAGAGAAGATCCCACTGAAAAACAATTTAATGCACGTTCACTGAAAGAGAGCATCGGAAAGTAAACAGGTGAAGGTAACTTCATTTACCAGTGGTGGCTTATGGATGCTCAGAGACGCTGAGATTTATGACATACTGCCTTGGGCAGGTGGAAGGACAGTGAGAAGAGAGAAGAAATTCTGGCTGTAAAATGTCTTAAATGCCAAAACCCAAATGAGTCTTTACAAGATCGGTTACCTGTACTCGCTCCGAGGCTGCAAGAAGGGGGGTGGCCAGGGGGGGCCCAAGCCATCACTGAGGACCCCCAGCATCCTCCGGGACAGCAATACAAGCCCAGGGCTTGGTCTCGTCAGGGTGGGCGGAAGGCTGCAGGAAAGCTGCCCCCTCCCCGTGCCGCTGCTGGGCACCGTGTGCCGGTGTGCAAAGCCCCATGCAGTCAGTGGGACAATGGCATTGGGTGGGACAAGCTGGGAAGAACATTAGGAAAGGTTTTTCCAAAGCTCTTAGCATGACAGAAGAGGACAAGTCCTGCCTTACAAATAACAACTACAAGAAAACACCTCTGTGGGGAAACACACTTCTGCACAATCCTGAGCTCTTTTTTTGTTTTAAATGGCTGAGAACAGAAGAAATAATTCACCCCGAAGGACTGTAGCCTGAAAGACCTGAATCTTGCAAGCAGCAATGCACAGAAGTTGGAAGTGAACACAACTGGAGTTGGCAAGAAGAACAAATTAAAGGTTTTCATTGTGGCAAATGAGGCTTTCAAATGGACCAGCAGTAACACGATGTTCAAAACTTTGTTGCATTACTTTTATGATTTCTCCCAGCAGCACGCAACAAAACATATCTGAGCTGTAATCAATTTCTTACAGTTTTATATAAACATTATAGGAATTTTGTCCTCTGTAATACTTCTTGCTCTCAAGGCTGCAATAAATAAGTCAGTTACAACTCCACTGCCGCTTTGCCTCCTATCTCGCCGTCTCAAGTCACTGCTTTTATTTCTTTTAAGCTACCAGTGTAACCACTTTCAGCTTCAACAAACACTTTAAATGTAACCTGTAGCTAAACTCCAGGCAGAATGAAGCATTTTACATTCACAGGGGAGGAGTGGAAAGGAAAAGCTATTTTCCACTGTTAACACCACCTTCCTTTCATCTACAGCCTCTCTCCAGTATCAAGGAAGGGAATTCTGATAGCAAATCTCTCAACCAACAACTCAAAGAGAATTGGGCCTGGGAAGTCCAAGAGACAGTAGTCACTACAGTCACATTTTCAAAAGCTGCGTAACAAGCACCCTGGCCATGGACACATCAACCGATGAGGATGCTAGCACTGGCCCTTGCATGTCGTTGGCAAGCCACCTTCTCCAGTGTCACCTCACTGCTCAAGGACAGTGCTGTGGTTGCAACTTAAGGAGACAGGAGAGGACCAGGATGCTCAACTCCAGGAGGGGCACATGCCATTGAATGTCCGTCTTTTGAAGGTAGAGACCTTCTGGGACTCAAATCGCTCCCCTCCAGGACCACACTTCAGCCTGTCTTCGGGCCCTGCCCAAAGCACCTCACATAGCAGATCCAGACATATCTATCATTCTGGGGTCCCAAGTTGTAGGGACATCGGAGAGGGGAATTACCTGGGCACACTTCAGGGTCAGTACTCGAGGCGAAACCTGAACCGGGCCCATAGCCATTCAGAGAGCTCTAACAGAGCTGTGTGTCACTTAGGCACTGAACTGTCTTGCTTCAAGGCATTGGCTTCCTTTAGTTTATGAAGAAAGGCCGTGGTTTGTCAGACCACAGGTCCACCTACTCCATAGTCCCATCTCGAGCAACAGCAGCAGCGACTGCTTCAGCAGTGCTAGAAGAGTGTGTGGTGGTGCTTCCCCAGAAGAGTACCCCACCTGGCAGAGGCTGTGGCTTGAGGACCACCTGAGCCAGAAGTATTGTCTTGGTATAGCCCTGGTTGGGTTTTGCCCTGTCGTTCTCCCTCTGTTTCATCCAGGAAATGGCAAATTCATGCCACCACTACGATAAAGCACCAGGGAGGGTAGGGAGTAGGAGGGGAGAAGAGACACCTGGGCAGACTTCAAAGGTTTCTCATCCTTTGAACACTTCACTTATACATAATTGAAAGGGCTATATGTTTGGACTACAAGAAAGTAGATTTTTTTTTCCCCACTACCAGACCCATCACATGAGGGATGCTGTCATACGATAGCCTTGGGGGAGGTTTGCAAACCTGGAGAATTTACTGAGAAGCAAAGTAAACTACTACTGACAGCAAGCCAAGAAGGCCAATGGCATCCTGGCCTGTATCAGAAATAGTGTGGCCAGCAGGAGTAGGGAAGTGATCGTGCCCCTGTACTCGGCCCTGGTGAGGCCGCACCTTGAATACTGTGTTCAGTTTTGGGCCCCTCACTACAAGAAGGACGTTGAGGTGCTGGAGCGTGTCCAGAGAAGGGCAATGAGGCTGGTGAGGGGTCTGGAGAACAAGTCTTCTGAGGAGCGGCTGAGGGAACTGGGGTTGTTTAGCCTGCAGAAAAGGAGGCTGAGGGGAGACCCCATCGCTCTCTACAACCACCTGAAAGGAGGTTGTAGCGAGGTGGGTGTCGGTCTCTTCTCCCAAGTAACAAGCGATAGGACGAGAGGAAATGGCCTCAAGTTGCGCCAGGGGAGGTTTAGGTCGGACATGAGGAAAAATTTCTTCACTGAAAGAGTGGTTGAACATTGGAACAGGCTGCCCAGGGAAGTGGTGGAGTCCCCATCCCTGGAGGTATTTAAAAGACAAGTAGATGAGGCACTTAGGGACATGGTTTAGTGAGCATGG